CCTCGGTGATCTTTGTGTGCATTTAAGCTTAGTTGTCCAAAAGCCGGTCTTGTGAAAAGCCTCAAGGCATAGGATCGTAGTGGAAGCATGAGTGTGGGGGAATTCTTTTTCTCCACTTGATGTGAAATTGACAATTATTTCCACATATTGTGTGTGTTTGAATGCTTTGCAAGATGGTCGACACAGAGCACGAGTTCATTAGCTACTTGGTGAACCATGCAAAGTATGGGGCCAAGTTTAGTCAGTGGAGATACAGTGATGTGGGGCCTCATCGGGTGCTTGATCTGGACATGTTCAACATGATCAGATGTCGGGCAGCAATGTTTGGGGTACTCAGTCACCCCAGTGGAGGCAGTTGCTTTCAGTGGACGAGCTCATACCGAGAGCTCTGCATAGAGTTCTACTCCACTTTCTCCCACGTCATTCCGGGGAGTAAGAGGAGTAGACCCTACGTGGAGTTCATGCTGGGGGGTCAGCCAAGGGTGCTAACGTACGATGGCTTTTCTCAGGCCATGGGGCTAGACCCCACCCACATGACGATGACAAAGAGGCAGTACATTGCCAACATCCACTACCAGACAGCCTTCCACGCCATCTGCCGCATCGAGCATTAGGGGGACGAGTTCAAGGGCACCAACACCAATGTTGTGAAGCTCAGAACACCGTGGAGGATCCTACACACCCTCCTGATGAGGTCCATCGTCCCCAGCCTGTTGGCAGGGCACTTGATCATGAACATGGGGTTGATAGCCCTCCATTCCCTGAACCGGCCGGTAGATCCGCTCCATCTAGGAGTCGTGGTTGCTACCACCTTTGCTCTATGCGAGGGCCGGGGCAGAGTGAACACGATGCACTTGGGGGGCATCATCACCAGTCTTGCCCAACACTTCGGGGTTGATGTGGGTCGGTGTTCTATCATCGACCGGCAGATCCACTCCATCTAGGAGCCGTGGTTGCTACCACCTTTGCTCGATGCGAGGGTCAGGACAGAGTGAACACGAGGGCAAGACTTTAGGTTCAAGTCAAGTGATTGGATAATGGATAGAGCTTGTGCATCTTTTCGTTCATAGTGGGATCCACTTTTGTATCTGACCTTTACTTTAGATAAGGGGAGGCAGAATTCATTCGTTGATGCACTTGGGGGGGTATCATCACCAGGCTGGCCCGACACTTCGGGTTTGATGTGGGTCGGTGTTCTATCATCGGCTGGACGGAGCAGTTTCCGGTGGAAACCCTATATAACATGAAGCTAGTGCTTCAAGGGGAGAGAGGAATTGAGTTCCTAAAGGGCCTTTGACCCTCGACAGCTCTGCAACCCCAGGTCGACCTTGCATCAGTGTAGCCTAATCTAGAGATACCTCCCCCAGAGCAGCCACCCACCAGAGCTCCTGGCCGCCACCGACGGACCGCACCACCACCACCATCAGCTGCATCATCATCATCAGGGGTCGGACCCTCTACCTCCGGACCCCACCTCGATGAGCGAGTGGATCTCCTCGAGGCGCATTAAGTGGGAGTCACTGCTCGGCTTGACCGTACCGCCAATCTCATAGAGAGGATTGCTCGACACCAGGGCGTCCTCTCGCACGATGAGGAGTGGCCTTGCCCACGACGAGGTAGCCATCAAGGGAGACATGTGGCAGAGCCTATTTCTTTTGCCCCACTTCTCCACTTGCAAACTCTGAACTCTTTTATTTTTCTCCTTAATTAGTCTGTGAACTAGTACTTTGTGAGTTCTTTATGTTGGATCGTATTCTGAAACTTTTTTTATGTGTAATAACCTCGCCTCGAGCGAGAATGTGCTTGTGTTTGTGTTTTGTTTTGTTTTGTTTCTCCTTTGAAGCTCAAACATCCTACCATGGGAAATTCTCCAAATTTAATTCACCAAGCCATGCAGTAACATCGTTCTACCCCCTATTTTGTGCCATTGAGGCAATATCGAGCTTAAATGTGGGGGGTAGTCTATTATTATGCTTGTATGAGTGAATGAATGCTTGGAGCCTTGATATATGCCCAAATTTGAAAATTTTGAGGGCTCCAAGCAATGCATGATCAAAATGTCCGGTTGGTGGGTGAATGTCGTGCTTATTTTGCATCGATCTTGAATTGTTGCGTATAATCGAGTGCATCCTATTATTATGACTGATAATGCATTAGGGTTGTGCAAAAGCTTAGTTCTCATGTGTGCTTAAATGAATGGATGTCTTGATTTAGTTACTTCTTGATTACAATTGCCATGCATTGAAGTTTTTGAAATTGGAATAGATGATTTGGCGGCTAGGTAGCCATGTGAGTTTTGTGTCGATCGTCTTTTTCATGTCAAAGTGTGAGTCATCCTTGTGTCTCAGAGTTCTCACTTTTGAGCTCCATTGAGGTTCTAAATAGATGGTTTTACACCGTTCTTGCTAGAAATGAGAAGGTAGTGTTGGAGGAAAGTTCTTAAATGGACAGCATTGTTCGTTAAATGAAAGAAGTGGCATGTGTTTAGATCTCTAGTACCCCCTAGAAAAAAACAGAAAAAGAAAGAAAGAGCCAAAGAAACGAAAAAGGTAATAAAACGCGGTAAATAAAAGTAGAGAGTGGCCAAAAAAAGTATAAGTGTATGCTCTAGAAAGGGTTTCTTGGCACTCAAGCCATTAAAACACCTAAATTGTTTGATGACCTCCTTCACTACTAGGTTTGAAATGAGAATAGCAAGATAGGTCGAAGAAGTGTGCATGAATGTGGTTTGTGATTGGTAGTGGTTTGGAAGAAGGGAAGTGTGGTTTTTGGCCGATGCTAGTGGCCTTTGTTTGTAGGAAAGGTTCTTAGTCGAGACCATAGAACCTTGGGTTTTAGGTTGAAGATGTAGGGCCTCATGCCATGTTTTCCACCACCCAAAAAGCCTTTTCCCCATGTCCAAGACAATTGCCAGTCATTTGAACCAATGTCGAGACCATAGAACCTTGGGTTTTATGAAATTTAAGTTTATAATGCTTTTTTTTGTATTTTTTTTTTTTTTTTTGTGAGCAACGGGCGCTAAAGGGCGCCCAACAAATTAACTGGAAATGAACCTGGGGCTTTGATTCCCCTCCAGGTCGTACAGCAACCAGAAATTAAGAAGAGGGGGCGGGATCGTAATCAAGTGAACTCCCAAGGGCAGGGAATGCTCCGTTGACGCCAAGAAGTCAGCCGCGACGTTCCCCTCCCGAAAGACATGCTCAATTTCAGTTTCCCATTGTCGCTCTCTCAATCTTCGCACTTGAAGCACAAGCTGGTAGTGGGGATGAAGTGAACTAGCAGAACTTATGAGCTCCACCCCCGCCCTTGAGTCCGTTTGGAGGACTGCTTTCCTAACTCCAAGCTCCCACGTGCATTGCAAACCCTGAATAATGCCCATCAATTCGGCTCTAGTAACCGAGCCCTCTCCCAGATTCATGGCAAAAGCGCCTAAGAATCTACCATCCTCCCCACGTATAACGCCTCCTGCCGCTGAGCTTTGCTGTCCCAACGCCCCCGATCCATCTGTATTGATGCACGACCACCCAGGCTGGGGTTTCCGCCAACCAATCTTCCGCCAAGAACCTTGTTCCTTATCCCCCAGTAGAGAACCTCCCCGTGAACAAGCCTCCTCCATACTGTGCTTCAGTCTTCGGGCGCCACTCTGGACTTGTGAAGCTGTCCCCTTTTTCTTCTCAAACACCAATTCATTTCGGTTCCTCCAGAGCAGCCAGCAAACCGCCAAGAACAACGTTGCATCAATATTCTCACTCTTCCCTGATAGGTAATAGAGTAGCCAATTCCTCAACTCCTGTTGGAAGAATTTCTCATCTGGTTCGTTCACAAGGAAAGATGACCAAACCTCCCTAGCAAACGGACAGTCACGGATTACGTGCAGGGTGTTTTCGACTCCATCCCCACAAACTGGGCAAGACCACTGGCTGGTCAGATGGCGTCTCACTCTTTCCGTGTTCGTCAATAATCTGTTGTGACCCGCCAACCAAAGGAATGCTCTAATACGTTGGATTGTCGGGGTCTTCCAAATTGCACGCCAGACATGGTTGGCTGGGACAGGTTGGTGCTCCTCATCAATCAAAGCATATGCCGATTTAAGCGAGAATTGGCCATTTTGGGTGAACCGCCACAAAAGCTCGTCATCCTCAACCCCATTAGGGACCTCATGTAGCTGGATCTGTTGAACGACTTGGGGGGGGAAGAAAAGCATTCATATAGTCCAAATTCCAATCTCCGTTAAGGACCATTTCAGCCACCTGCACCGATCTCGCTGCCTGTGGAAGCCCCACCGCCAATTCTGATAGTGGCGGGCCATCAAAGAGCCATCTATCCTCCCAAAAGCGTACCTGGCTACCACTGCGGACGTTCCAAAGAGCTCCTTTTGGCACCCAATGTATCACTCGTAGAACGCCCCGCCATAGGTTCGAGAGCCGGCCTGTCGTACGTGGTTTGAGGACTCCATCTTCTTCCTTCAGGTATTTGCAGCGAATTACCTTGGCCCATAAGCTGTTCTTTTCCTTAAGCACTCTCCAGGCTATTTTCAGCATAAAGGCGTCATTCATCGTTGTACGATGCTTTTTTTGTATTTACTATGTTGCACAGTAATTTGATGAGTTTTTGGCTGTGGAGAGGAGATTGAACTACCCCAGTTAAAGAAATCGGATGGTTTGGTTGGTTGGGTTTTTAATACATTTTAATGAATAAATATATATATATTTTTACTTAAGTTTATTTGTTTAAATTTTGTGCTACTAAAATTCTTTCATAGTCACGGTGGAACAAACGAAGAACTATTCAATCGTATCTTGATCATAAACTTCGGAAAATAAAGAGCACAAAATAGAAAATAAAACAGATTTGTGTTATCCATAGAAATAACCAAATTGAAAATGCTAAATTGGTGCACTATGCTTGACATATATAGCAATCTTTTTCACTCACAAATACCAGCATTATACATTCAGTACTATAGCACAATGCATACCAAGATGGTTTTGAGCATTAGTATGAGGAGGGCAATTTTGATAGTTAATGTTATATCTATGGTGATCTTTACAGTAGTCAACGACGTTGCCAAAGCAGAACGTACAAATGGCTTTTTCCCTATAAAGAAAACAGTGACAATTACCAACGCGCTTCAGAGTAGGGCCCAGGTGAAGCTACATTGCAAGTCAAAGGACGATGACCTTGGGATAAGAATGTTGAGATATGATGATAGCTTTCATTTTGGGTTTAGGCCAAATATATTTTTCACAACCCTATTCTATTGTTCCTTTGAGTGGCCCGGCAGCGGCAGGGTTCACTGGTATGATGTCTATGATGATATGGCTATGAATTGCATTAACTGTAAATATCTTGTCAAACCTTTTGGGTTGTGTAAGTACAATCTACAAACTCATGATTATGACAAGTGTGAGCCTTGGAATAATGAAGAAATAGTTTAGATTATGGAATGAGAAAAAATAAGAGAGAAACATAATATTTTATCTTTGTTCATGAATAAGTGATATATTTTTTTCATGAAAATAAAAAGGAATTTCTTTGTCTGATAATGTTTTTTTATCACTTAGATGGATTTGAAAATATCTTGGAGTAGAAAGGTTTCCTACTGGTGGTTGGTAATAAGGTGAATGACAAGATAATTCCAACTAAAATGGCCACTCTTCGTTAGTTTCCGTCCAACTTCGGTAATAGAGTTCGTTAAATGCTGACGTGGCAAACGAAATCGCCTAATCAATGGAATTTAACCTGATACAACCCAATACAAACCCTAACCACCTTCCACATCATTAAAACCATAACCTAATACAACCCAATACAAACCCTAACCCGACCCGAACAAAACATCTTGAAACTCCTCTACCTCTCTCATCCTTCTCCTCCGCATCCGATTAACAAACAAATTCGCAATTTGGTTTCAGGTTCAGTGAACGCCCAAACAATTCAGGGACACTATTTTAGAACTTACCACAAACCTTCATATAAAATCCACACGATTTCTCCTTTTCCTCCGCAGCAGAAGAGTTTTCCATCTCCATCTGTCCACCAAAAAAAAACCTAACAATGACGGCGGCTGTAGCAGCAAAGACATCACCCGTCGGCTAGGGATGGCAATTTTGCCCATACCCATGGGTATTTTACTATCCAACCCAATTGGGTTGGGTATGGATTCCAAATAAATGGTAGATGGGTAGAGTTTGATGGATTTGTACCCATACCCATTTACTTGGGTTGGGTTGGGTTTTTAACACATGGATTTGGGTTTGTACCCATCCCCAAAGGCAAATTACAGTTTGGTACCTAAACTTAATAGATATGCAGATTTAGTACCTAAATTTAATTTTTTTTGCATATAAGTCCTCAAAATATCGATGGAAAATTACGTTTTGGTACCTAAATTTTTTTTGTCTTACATTTTGGTACCTAAACTTTTCAAGTTTTACAAATAGGTCCAATTTTTGTGTGTGTAGTTAAAACACCCTCAAGTAAATGGATATCCATATCCAACCCATACTCATTTACATTATGAAAGCAATATCCATACCTAACCCAAACCCATCTACAAACCCCCAAACCCATATACACTTCATCCAAACCCTACCCATACTAAATGGATCTATTTGGATTTGGGTAAAATTACCCATGGGTGGGTAATTGCCATCCCTACCGTCGGCATGCGGATTCGGGTCAAGTAAGGCGGCGCACACATCTAAGATCTACCCCATTCGTCAGAGCATCGCCAAGGTCACCCCCAGGATCCTCCGCCGAGCTATCATCGCCGCCCCCTCCTCTTCTTCGTCTTGCTCAATTGGAAATCAAGGTCGGGTAATCCCACGATCATGGAGATGGAGGGGGCACACCTTTGTTGGTGAGCATGAAGATGTAGGAAGAGAGGGAGAAGCAGAAGGCGGAGGAGGTTCAAGATGATATTTTTGGGTCGGGTTAGGGTTTGTATTAGGTTAGGTTATGGTTTTGATGATGTGACGGGTTGGGTTTAGTATTTTTCGGGCTAAATTCGACTGATTAGGCGATTTAGTTTGCCACGTCAGCATTTAACGGACTCTATTGACAGAGTTGGATGGAGACTAACAGAGGGTGACCAACTGTGGCATGTTTTACTAAACTTAGTGACCATTATTGAAATTAAATAATTTTAGTGGCAAAACATGAATATTTTTAGTAATCTTAGTGACCAATCTTGCAATTTACCCAAACATTATATATGATCATTTGTAGCCTATCCAAAAAGTATGACAAACATAAGAAAAAATTTAAATTTTAGGGATAGAGGAGGGAAGGATCATATGGCATCTGAGTGTAGGTAATATATGAAATCATATGAGCGGTTATGAGTATCATGATGAGCAACTATACTCATTCTCGCTAATTTATTTATGAGTATGACTCATACTCGTCTCGTATCCTGTCAATTAACGAGGGGTTCCCCTCAATCATTGTGGGGGAGGGATGGATACTCACGACTACGAGTACAAGTGACATCATATTTATCTCTCAACAATAATTTATGGGGTTTTTCTTCTTGTAGAAAATACTTATAAACTGAAATGGTCAAATTTCCGAACTTCAATGCAAAAATGATGTTTCTATCCATTAATTATGTTACAATCGTCATCCAGTTCATATTACTCATAGATTTATGGAACGAGTTTTACGGTAAAAACAATCAAACAAAAAACAACCTCAATCACATGCATTAATCTTCACCTATAAGTAAAGAAATATATAGCCTCATTTTTAGTGATCAAACAAAGAACGAAACAACAATGCATATGCAGAATTGCTTTTTCGTTGCCCTCTTATTACTAACACTAACAAATTCTTTCACTGAGGCAAAGAGTTGGATTGAATTTGGTTATCGAAAAACAAAGGTGATAGTTTGGAACGAACTGGGAGGAGGTCAGGAACTTAGGATTCATTGCAAATCCAAAGACGACGATCTCGGGATCCATGTGCTAAAGACACATTATGGCGTAGATTGGACATTTCGTCCAAACCTCTTTCATACTACATTATTCTACTGCGCGATGGAGTGGGGAGATGGAAAGATTCATTGGTTTGACATCTACACTTGGCACAGGGATTACGAGCGTTGTAGCAATTGTCAATGGATTGTTAAGGAGAGTGGCCCGTGTTTTTACGACACCGCCACTCGTATGTTTGACTTTTGTTATCAATGGAACCGAGTGAGCCTAATGAAATAGGACCAGAACTGGAGTTGTTTTCATAATATTTTATGGTAGGTAGTGTTTTGGGAGTTTCGCATAACATAAATGGTTCAATGTTTTTCTCTCATTTATGTGGGAGGGAGTTCTGGATATAGTTTGTAGGAGACTGGTAACTATTTGAATTTTTTATTCAATGTTCCATTCATAATGGTTATGGGTTTAAATAGCTATTACGAATAATTATCCTTCCTAATAATTAAAGTTTTTTTTTCGCATTGCGTGGAGGCCGAAACCAAGAAACAGAGAGGGAGGTTACAGGTGATGAAGAAGAAGAAGAAGAAGAAGATGTTCGAGTAATTACTCGACGCTCAAAAGTTGTTCCCATGATGTCATCCCTAAGAATCGAACGTAGTCTAGTAGGAGGGTCTGCAAGTTCATGCATACCGTAGGGATAGACGAGACTGTGCTTCGAGAGCCAGTTCGCGGCTCTATTCCCTTCTCGGTATGTATGAATAATGCGTACCATCCAATCATAGCTCAGCTTCCTGCGAATGACAGAGAGGAGAGTAGCATAAGGATGGATCGGATCCAATCTGTTATGAATCAACTGGATGGCTACTTGGGAGTCTGACTCAACAGTGATGACCCTTTGTACTGTCTTCCACGCCAGCTCAAGACCATAGTTGAATACCCACAGCTCCACAAGAGCAGTCGTAGCTGTCCCAATGTTCGCAACAAAACCCCCTTGCCATTTCCCAGTCGAATCTCGAATGATGCCCCCTGCTCCAGCCTGCCCTGGATTTCCATTAGAGGCCCCATCTATATTTAAAGTAACCCACCCCTCTTATGGAGGAGTCCAACCAATGTTGGCCATTATCCGCTCCGCTGGGCGCCTTCTATTGTCTAGCATAAAGGAAGGAGCATGCCAAGAATTGTGCCAAATATGGGTCTTCAAACTAATGGAGTGCACCAAATATGGAGGTGAGAGCGCTGCCTCTATCCCTGTAAAAGATGTTGTTGTTCGATTCTTCTAGAGCAGCCATGGAGCCATACTAACAAAGGAAGAATAAGGGATCCTGGTGTCCGTGGGGTCCTCGCAAAGCATGTTCGCCCGTAGCCACTCGTCCTGGCTGGAAGAGAAGAAAAGCAGATGTCGGTGGTTCGAGACCAGGCGGCTCCAGAGATACAGTGCAGGTGGACAGTCTCTCAAGATGTGAAGGATTGTCTCAGGCTGTTCTGTACATCTCAGGCAATGCGGTGCAGCCGCCACTCTCCTGTTGTACCGAAGAAGATTAGTAGTTATCTTGCCAAGTAATGTCAACCACATAAATCATCGGACTCTTTCCGGCACTGGTAACTGCCATATCACCTTACAAATTCTGTCGTTTGATGTGAGATGATGTTGAGCGAGTAGGGTGTAGGCGGACTTGAGCGAGAACCGCCCATCAGCCGAGGCAATCCAGAACAACTGGCCGTCCTCTTGGGAGATTTTTTCAACTGCAACACTCAAGATTTTCTGAATAACATCCATGGGTAGCAGGTCGGAGAAGAGCCCTATTCGCCAACTCCCGTCGTCTCGAACAAAGGCAGCAATAAGTGCCATTATTTGCTCTTCGGGGATAGCGCCCTCCGCCACTTCCTGAAGGGGAACCTGCAAAATCCAGGAATCCAACCAAAATTTAGTCCGTTTACCATTCTTAATGTTCCACGCACATCCTTTTTTTTTAGAAGATTTGCAGCTTTAGCAAAACTGCTCCAGGTAAAGGAACTTCTTTGAGATTGACGTAGAATGTCAAGATCTTGTCATGTCAAGAGTTTTATATGAATGACATGTTGTCATTTTCCTCTCACCTGCAGCTCAATTCTCAATGTTACCATGGAAGTGGGAAAATGCAATTGTTTTAGCCTTGTTACTCCAATCCGAGTATCGATTTATGTTCAGAAAAATAAAAAATTGTAAAATCATACCGAAAGTCATGAAGGGAAAAGTTAGCATTAAGGTATTTTGTACTAAAATCGTAGTTCAACCATGGTTAAATCAGACTTGACATGTCCCGCTAACCAGAGCATATTTATGTTAAAAAAAAACACGTTACTCTAACCCATAGTCTCCCGAGTAGCGATTTATGTACAGAAAAATAAAAATTTGTAAAATCATACCGAAAGTCATATAGGAAAAGTTAGCATTAAGGTATTTTGTAATAAAATCGTAGTTCAACCATGGTTAAATCAGACACATTGCTCCAACCCGAGCCTCG